ACTTAACTTAACTCAACGTAAGCTAAGTTAAGTTAAGTTAAGTTAAGTTAAGAAAGTCTCGATGTATAAGTCTCGATGTATAACTGATCTATGTAAGTTATCCCATGTATTTCTCGAGGGCTCCGCACGGAAAAACCCTCCGCAAAGCTTTCGGGAAAAGCCCACCAGGTCATCATTGACTTCTGCTAGGTGAACAGTGGGATGAGTACGATGCAGAATATCATGCAAGCTCTTCCACAGTTTGGGCGTAGTTGCTAGCCCCATGGCTTCAGGCCACACTAAACGAATCATGAGGAGAATTGCTTGAGCTGCCGCTTTGAGCAGTTCTTTTATGCATCTGTTGGAGTATGATATGATCGTTCTCCCCTTCAAAAATTCTTTCTTCCGCTTCAGGAAGATAAAGCCAACTGGGAGTACCAGCGGGGTTTATGCCCCATCTGTATCTCCTTTTCAACAGTCCAGGAATGCGATCAAGGACCCAAGTGGACAATTGCTCTGGGGAGCCTTCTATAGGCTCGAAAACGGCTGGGTCCCGCCATGTTCGCAGGGCAGCCTGGAGGTAAAATTGAGGGCAGTAAATCATAATGTGGTTCGGTTCGTGGTCCTCGCAGTGAACCACAAAATGTTGATGAAGCAAACTTCGTGCAACAGACACATCTTTCCACGTGAGCCTTTCTTCATGGCTCAAGTGTTCAATATGTTTCTCCCATTGATGTTGGAGAAGTGAGCGGAATTCAAGCTCCAAGCTTTGAGGGAGACAATGCTTTCTCCTCCAAGAAGAAAACATCTTGGCATTGTGCTTGAAAAATTCATGCTTCGCCGGGAAAAAGGCGGAAGCAGCACTACCCAACCCTAGCTTCACGAAAGACTTGTGCAGGGCACCTAATTGCTCAATGTCTGCAACGACATGACCATGGGTCATGCACGCCTCTGGTAACTGGGCAGAAAACTGGTGGCAGGGACACGGCACATCATCAATAGAATGATGCTGCAGCCATGTATCTTTGAAATTGTGAAGGAAATCTTTCAAAGTTTGATGTGGTCCTTCTCTAATCTTGAAGAGAGGAAGGTGAAATGGGATCAGTATGTGTTTAAATCTCACAATCTGTTTCCTGATCCAAGCAGAAACATCCGAACTAAAGCTGGGATGTGAAGTAAAACGAAGTTGAAGGCCCAGTGTTGATCTAGGCCAAGACATGTTCCTGTACAGACAAACGGATTTGAAGATCTTACGAGCTTTGCTCTTGCCCGGTTCCTCCAAGCAGTTGCTCAAGCGAACGAGCGAGTACATCTCATCTGGCAAATATCGGTCACTGCGCAGTCTTTTAGCCTCTTCAAATGGGACTCGACTGAAGCATGTAAGATTGAACAATATCTCCCATGCTGACCGACGTTTGAGCTGAAAGGGTTTCGGTTGCAGCTGTTTGTGGAGCTTCTTTCTCAGCTTCCTCCACAACCTTAGCCCAAACCTTGAAGACACTGTGCTGCGTATGCGCTTGTTGGGACGGAAGCCCAGTGCGCTTCGTTTCGAAAAAGACACAATGTGGGGGTGGTTGAGCTTTGGCTGCCACATCGCAATTAAACAGTGCTCTGTAATCCATGCTTCTTTGTAGGATGAGCACGGAGTAAGAAGAAACAAAGTGTAGTCCTGGAGGCAGTTGTTTGAAACCCAGTAACGGATGGCGAGCTCAGCTTGAGCCTCTCCTCCGGAAGACAGCTTCCCTGCCACTGAGAATCGATTTGACTCCCTTCGGAAGACTGACTGGCTCGTTGAGCCGATGTACATAAATGTAGAAGGCTGCCGATACTGTTCGATACTTGAAAAATGGCTTGAAACTTCGACCAGGAGTAGTCCATCGGATGGACACGATAACACCGAAGTTCAGAGCGAATAACTTCGGCATAAGAAGTCAGGGACCCATCTTGAAAGTAAAACAATAGCACGAGGTGAAGGAGGCCCTGAGCCCACAACATGGATTGTTTGTTGAAGCCCGGGCACTCATGGAGAAAAAAGGTAACTGCTTGCCCCAGCAGACATATGTCTGCTTTGATGGAGCTTCTCTCGGATGCAGCCATGTATGCACATCGTACAGCTAGTCAGGCTGCCTCGAGCTGTGCCACTGCTATGGTGGCAGAAAGGTTCTTCAAAGAGAGGCGAGATGCCAATTTGGCATCGAGTCCAAACCGGACGGCTGCCGAGACGATCTCGTCCTTGGCTGTGCCAGTCTTAAGCAAATCTTGAACGATCTTGACATACTTGACCAGCTTGGCATGCTTGCCTTTAAATTCAGGCTTGGTCTTGAATGTGTTGAGCCAATCAGTGACATGGTCATCTGTGGCTCCTTTGGGGCGAGAATCCAGCATCCTCTTTGGCTCAGCTAGGAGCTTCTCAACATCAGAAAGGGGTTTTGACTCAACATCCACAACGGGCATTGGAGGCTTAGCTCTCTTGCCTTGCTGATCAGAGGAGCTTGGCTCAGACTCCGATTTGCGCTTTAAAGGAGACATCTCAATGCCATGCTGGGCCAATTTGGCCTTGGCCTTGGCGAGTTCTTCCGAGGCATCCGAATTTTGCACCGGCACTTTGGCTGCAATGCAGTTCATGAGCTCTTGGGCGAGAGGTTCCATAAACTTCATCGCCTCTTTATGTTTGTCTGGAGAGGCCTCTTTGTGGCAGACTTTGGCTGCTTCGTCGACTCCCTCAGCTTTTTTAGGAGAGCAGTGAGGAGAACTGACTCTGAGCCACTCCGAGCCCAGACTATACTCTGATGGCGGCCCTCTGACAACAAGCGGAACGAAAAATCTCCTAATCCACGGTGCGAAAGCTCATAGGCACGGATGTCAGTGACATCACGGCCTGCTACGCCCGATTTTCGAGACCATTCCGTTGGTTGCACTTGTTTGTACAAGACATGAGCTCCTTTCCCCAGAGGGGTCTTGTCAAAATGCTGGTGATCAGAAACAAACGATGTGGGCAGCGAAGGTGTAGGGGCAGTTGAGGGATTCCAGTCGGAACTTTGCCACCAACTGCTGTTCGCATCCCACTTGTCTTTGGGCCAAGTTGTGCTTGACTCTTCATTGTCTTTTTGCCAAGTGGTGCTGGATGCTGTGGATTGCCACGTGTTCCAAGACGACATGGCTTGAAAGAGCGAGCTTGTTTTGCTTTCTTTGATCAGAAAAGCTGTGGAAATGCGTCCAGAGGAGAATGAATCTGAATCAGGCTGGACGACTCTGTAGAAATCAACAATTATTCCCGTCGACAGCTAAGCGATCAGGCTTGTCACTAATACATGGTTGTTCCGAGGAACAGTTGCTGGGCACTCTGGTTTGGGTTTAGGATAGAGCCGATCAGGGCTCGGAC